GATGTGAAACTCCGAAAATCCATCAGGCCTTCACCGATGCCTCCGCGAATAAAGTTAGGGCCCAGAAATGCAGCCAACCTATGAATTTCAATTATCCAGAGCGATTTATTAATACAACTGTTACGAACCATCGTTTATAAAGCACGTATTTGACTTAGTTTTTGCATAAATTTACTCATTTTTGTGGAAGAACGCTCATTTAAGTACTTTCATAGCCATCGTGGTTAGAATTGGAATCTGCAGACTAGCAGTGAAATTTTGGGGGTTAGAAGTTGGTTAGAAGGGTGGCTGCACTTTTGGGCCCTAAGCCCTCCATGAAGCGATCTGTCCATACTCTCGCTATACAGGTACTCTACTCTAGTCCAATTTTGATTAAAGAGAACTGTTGAATGGTGAACATCCGTCATCAACAGGTCTATTTTGATCAGAATTTGATTGTGTATTGAGAGCTGTAAAGTACTTTGATTGATTAATAAGTATTAGGTGAAAAAACATTGGGTAATCGATACGTACCGAGAAAGATTCATTATTAAATGTGATTAAATATTTTAATAGATTGATTAATTGATGGAAAATTAATTGCTAATCTGGTAATCTTTTTTACCTTTAAGGTTGAGCTTGTGGCAATCAATAGGGAGGCAATTAGCAGTTGCTAAATTACTGGAAGAGCAAGAGAGTTTCACAGATAGCCATTGACCAACACACATATAAAGAAAAAAGACTGATTCAGAAACTGTACCTGCGGGTGGAGCTTGTTCATTGTGGTTGCTAACCAATGCTGTTATCTGGTTCAATCGCTGAGCAAAGTTCAACTGCCTTGCGTTGAGTATTCGCATCATGTCCAGAATTTGGTCAACTTTGTTTTCCAAGGATGTACCCTTCTCGGTCGCTAGCATTGTGACTTAAGTATCAGAGAGTTTCTGAATAACTAATTGATGAGGTACCTTTGAAAGTGCACTTTTCGACTGAAAACTAGTGTAACGTGTAACTCAGAGGGACCGTTCTTTCAACTGTTCACTAGAGGAAACAGTACGTATCAAACAAATGATGATATAGAGAACTGATGAACTGAAGGAAACGAACACGCTTATCAATACAGCATGTACGACCTGCACCTGGTTCACCTGGTTGACCTGGTACGACGTATACATAACATAAACATAACCTCAACAGGTGATTGTTTCGTCAAGTGACCCTGAGTTGAGAATCTGGGATAAGAGATCGCGCTACTGTCGCCGGCGCCTCGGGATGACCGCGAATTTTGAATTTACCAGATGGTGACATTATTCGACTCTAGCAACAAAATTCAAACTAAATGATTAAATTTTCGAGGACGATATTCCCTCCGCAGATACTGCAACTCTTTGTATCCAAATTTTCACGACAATTTTGACGACGATGACGATGACGATGACGATGATGATGACGATGACGATGAAGACGACGATGACGATGAAGACGACGACGATGATGATAATGATTTCTTGTGAAGCAAATTCGATCAACAGAGGCCGATAAATGCGTCACCTCAGGGAACTATTTAATTTAGCGCAGCATATGATATCATAAACTTTGGCGTTTAATCGAACAGAAAATTCTCGGTTAGCCTTCAATATCACAGATAGGCAACTAAATATACACGATCATTCTCAACATAGTAGATGAAGAAGGTGTGGGTTACGAAGTAGACTGTATTCATTTCTGGCCACTTAATATGCTCGTGTCATCAATGACGTCCCTTTATTTTTCTCATAGAGTACATAGAGTCGTAATGTAATTGGGAGAGCTGGCGCCACTTTTAAGCATTTTCCATGTCCCGAATTCCGAGACTCCTGTGTGACGCCGGGTCACTTTTTCGATACATAATCGATTGTTTGCGATACACGGGTACCCGGCCATCCGATGACAACAACAACAACAACGAAGGAGATAGGAATCACCATGTATTCCACACCGCCATTTTGGATCGAAAATGTATCGAAAAAGTGACCCGAACTCGGCGCACACCGGGCTCGGAACTCGTCGAGCAGAACATGGCGCCAGCTCTCCCATTTACATTACGACTCTATGTACTCTATGATTTTTCTTTACAAGGAAGATAGGAAAATCATAAAAAGGAGGAAAAAAATACAATTAATTTTGACGGTGCCAAAATCCGATATAGCTCTTGGACCCCTTATCTCATACACTTTTACTTTTTTTTGGAACCAGGACTCATTTAAATACACAACAGTACCTACCCCCGAAAAGCCAATTCGAGGGGCTTGGAGGACAGGGCGCCTAAGTGCAGTTTTCGCTATTTTGAGAAATACGTGTTTAAAGTTTCGAAATTACACGCGGATCCTTATGGAGGAAAAAAGTTCAAACTGACTTTTTGATGCTTAAAAATTGGAATTCAGAAGCGTATTTTTCCATGCAGAATATGCATTAGGACTAATTATTTTACTTGAAAGTAGGTAATAATATCTCGATTTTTCAAAAACTGCGCTTATGCGCCTTGTCCTCCAAACTCCTCATTTGTTGTTATCTGGTAGATAATCATCGCAATTTTTTTATTTCTCTGCGATTTACAAAGGAGGAGCATTCTTCCCCCACAAAAATGACGGCTTACGTTGTAAAACTAAAGTCCTGTAAAAAAAGTAAAGGCACAAGGATGAAGCATTGTTCCAGGCACATAGAAACAAAGTGCTTCGATCGATGTAAAAACGTATCAGGTCCGAGGAGGTCAAGAAACCTTGAACGGAAAACTATAGGATTCAGGGCCGTCGGTTGAATAGTCGAACTCCATGGTATAAATTCCAGTGGCGTGGCGTGCTTTGCGATATATCGATTGATCGGCCATTTAAACCTATGGAAAAGAATCGATAAACAGGGTTTTCGCAGCGAACACCTTAATAATCGATCCTTTACCATGGGTTTAAATGGCATAACAATCGATATATTGCAATTCACGCCACGCCACTGATAAATTCGTAAGAGTGATGCGTATCGCACAATGCCTGAGGCGTGAACCGCTTCAGAGGATTTCGCCGGGAAACCAGTGGTGCTCCCCCCCTGAAAACTTTTGAAACCATGCGAGTTCTCCCCTCTAATCTTAAGTTATTCATCCCCCTCGCCGGGGGAACTGAGTAGTATGGGATACCCCCAGTTGACGGGGGGTTCGGAGGGCCTTCGGCCCTCCTCGAAATTTTTTAAAATTGTTGATATTGTTTGGGGCAATTTGAGACAGTTCTTACATATTTTCATTTACATTTTGCATCGGTTTAAATGGCAGATCACTTGATATGTCGCAGGCAAATAGTAAAATCAGGCAAAATGCCTAGGCAACTATTCAAATATTCTAACTTATAGATTGAAATTCTGATTCTTTTCCTAATTTCAAACGAAATAATTCATCGCTCCTGCCAGAAAAAATTCTCCTAAAAAATTTGCATACACAATAGTATTTTAAACGATTTTTAGCTCCTGAAGAGACACTGATCTTGAAATTTTTAGCATGTCTTAAAATACAGAATTTTTGGAATTTCAACATTTAAAAATATGAGCGCCAATTGAAGAGGAAGAGACAAAAAGAGTTCGTAGGTTTGATGAGTTGTTTTTTCCAAAAATAGTGAAAAATCGTGAGCTCTTCGCCATAAATTCGCAAAATTTTACAGATCATCAAACGTAATTTAACTATCTGCCTAGGCATTTGACAAAAGCCCGATTTCACCATTTTCCTGCGACAGATATACCCTATCGCAAAGCATGCTACGTGACTGCCGATTGATGGTATTTTCTCCGCCAGGTAGGCAGTCCCTCAAGGAAGGACCGTACAGAAGTAGATGGAATTCAAGTAGATCTTCTGTCATGTGCGCTCGAAATCGATTTATAATTGGACGTATTTCTATCAAACAGACCTATGTGGAGGTGAGAAATATGGGGTGTGCTCTAGAAATCTCCATAAGAAGCAATGTAAAAGTGGGCGCGATTCCTTTTGAAGAATTGGAAAAGCGGGATATTGCATTCTATCAAAGAGACCTATGTGTCAACGGAGTGCGGGATTCATGAGCCGCGGGCACGGCACGAGAGCCTTGTGGACAGGGCTCATGAGTTACAGCGCCCCGACGACGTTCTTCCCCTCGGCGCTCGTGCTCCATCATCGCCGCTGACGTCACTGGCGCACAATTATTCTCATTCACTCTTACGCAAAGAGAACTAACGAGCACACCCCATATTTCTCACTTGCACATAGGTCTGTTTGGTAGAAATACGTCCAATTATTAGAAAAATTCCTCTCGCCATTGACGAATCATTTAAAACCCTAGACTTGGGGCTTCGCGGACTTCATAAGCTCATGACCCTAATTGAAATCTTGTCTCGGAGTTTTCTCCGTATTATAATTGGACTGCATTTTGCAATTTGGAGCTATAAATTCCGGCTCATCTGAAAAAACACTTATACGCATAGGGAAACTAATGGCACATACGTTGTTTTAAAAGCGGGCTAGAATTTATAGTTCCAAATTGCAAAATGTAGTCCAATTTGAACTAAGTGGCGCTCAAAAAACTTGCTCTCAGGGAACTACCATAGCAGTGAGTGGTATTTGGGGCTCCAACACTTTGGAAGTTCAGTGCGCCGACGAGTCCATCGAAATTGTCTTACGTATGCCCGCAAAACGCTGATTTCACAGGTCCGTTCCCCAAATATTAAAATTTAAGGGTCCTTTATGAAACCCTAAGTTCTGTGAGTCGTCTGAACCAGTGGCGTGGCGAGAATGATCGATTATCGATATATCGTCATTTGAAGCCATGGTAAAGAATCGATTTCTAAGGTGTTCGCTGCGAACACCCTAATAATCGATCTTTTTTCATACGTTTGAGTGGCGTATCGATCGATACATCGCAAAGCACGCCACGCCACTGGTCTGAACTATTCGGGTTGTTGGACTTTTTAAATCTTCCGCGAGGACAAGTACTTATGGGTGATTTCACGATAACAGGAATAGCTAAAACGTGCAACACCTTAAAAATAAATGTGCACCAATACATAAAAATAATGGCATTCCTTCATTGTAAATGAAATAAACTTCCTCTTTCAAGCTTTGGCACGAACGATTTTGATTCAGTACAAAGTTGTAATGATTGATAAACAAGCCATTGAGAGATTGAGGATAATCGCTCAGATGTTGATGATTCTAACGATTTTATCGCCAAAAAATCGAAAAAGAAAATCGCAACTCCATTTCAAAAGATCGCGATTTTTTTTGTCGAAAAATGCTTTTGGGCTGTCGGATTATTGGCGCAGATTGCCGGCGTGGGGCGTACTTCTGACAGGAATCCACTAAACAGAAGCGGATCTAGCAATTTGGCAACACCGGATTTCCTCCATTTAAATCTATGTTAAATAATCGATTCCCGTCGGAGCACCTGGCCTTTCTAAGAATCGATAAATTCCCTTAGGTTTAGATGGAGAAAAACAATGTTGCCAATTTGCTGGATCCGCCAATGCCACTAAACATGGGGTGCAGATTCACCCTTCTTTCTCCAGAACCAACCTGATCCTCTAAATAGACTTTCATGGGAGGCACACTAGACTTATAAAAGTAATATACCCACCAATATCTGCCATAGAGCGGCAAATACCCAATCCAAGTAGCAGTGATCGCGATAAATAGCGATTATATCGGTGGCAATATATGAGGATATTATCGCATTTGGAGTACATTTTGCAATAAGGAACCGCACTATCTCTTGCTCTCCCATAAAAGTACGTATCTGCATGGGGAAATCAATTGCATATGTGGATTACATTTTGCAATAAGGAACCACTATTTTTGGTCCATTTTAGAAACAACATACATGCCATTAGTTTCCCTATATAGATATGTGCTTTTATGGAAGAACCAGAGATAGTAGTTCCTTTTTGCAAAATGTAATCAATATGTTGTTTCTAAAATGAGCCGGAAATAGTGGCTCCTTATTGCAAAATGTAATCCAAGTGCGATATTTGGCGATTATATCGCTATATATCGCAAATTTCGGTTCGATAAAATCGTGATCAATTTTTGTCGATAAAATCGAGATTAAATCGCCATTTATTGCGAATTTGTTTTACATTATCGGGCGATGAAAGCGCGAGTTCATCGCTCGACAATTTATCGCAATATTTTCGAAATAAAAATCGCGATAAATGGCGATTTAATTTCGATTTTATCGACGCAAATTGATCGCAGTTTGATCGAACCCAAAATTGCGATGCGTATCGCTTTAATCGCCATATCAAAATTTTTAATGCTATAATATCTCGATATATTGCCACCGATTTAATCGCGATATCCAACCGATAAAATCGCTATTTATTGTAATCACTGCTACTCGGGTAAGTTTGCTGCATGGGGATGGACTAACTATGACTCTCGTCTTGTGAGTTGCCGTTAGTTACATATTGCTTACCTCTCTTGTGCATTAAAACCACCCGCGCTTCCACCAATAGAATCACTCCACTTTTTCTTTGTCGCCTTTGTCTATCCCTTTGTCTATCAATTTCAATACCTTTATTCGGAAGTTGCCGGATTGTTTCTACCAAATTATTTATCTCCGAGGAAAATTGTGATTAGTTTACTTTCAAATTTTCAGAAATGGTGGATTAAATTGTGGATGAACTCTGTAGCAATATCGAGGGAATATATCCATGCATTTTCAAGAAAATGCTGCTTTTAGCATTAGAAATAATTTTGAAACGTCGAATGTCCAACCGGCTTTTTTCCTAAACGCGTCAAAAATAATAAATCTGAATCTACGAATCACTCTGTAGTTCTGTACATGGAGATGATATCACTTTCTCTGGATAAGTAAGTTCTATTAATTTCAAATACGCCCACTTTTATAAAGATAATTTATTCTTATCTCGGTTTTTATTCTCTGTACTGCGTTCTTATCACTCATTTTGTGGGAGTAACGATTCTCATGCATTGAACTGACTCTCAATCAGTTTCCTGCTGAACTTCGACTTAGTCGTGCTTAACAAAACTAGAGCCTTAGTATTGTCTCGTTTAAAATGTTGCAGCTCCTTTTATATCTATACCTCATTCCTCAGGTAAGCGCAATCGAAAACACACATTTGGTAACTTGTAGGAAATTAAGCTAAACATTGGCCTTTTTTAATTGTCGATTTGGGCAGCCAGCCTTCGAATAAACTGAATAAAGGCACTCCACGAAGGAGGATCTTCGAAACTCGCCCAGTTCCAAAGGAGAGTTTGGAGAGCTCCCAAAGTATCACAAGGGGGCTCGAAGGGCCTCCTCCCGAAAATGTTGAAAAATTGAGTCGTCGTAGGAACAATTTTATGGAGCTGTTCCCACCGAAAAGGTTATTGATCCAATTACAATTTGAAAGATACGTCATACACTTTCTTACCGAAATTCGTCACATTTTCATGGGAAGGGAGGCGAGGAGATTTCTATAGGTACCCCCCCCCCCCCT